GGGATTCTAAAGTATGCAAGAAACAAAAATATTTTGTTATGTCAAGTCAGTGACTGTGAGGGTGCTTTTGATATTTCAATTGGTAATGATCACATTTCAATGAAGCTTGGTACATAGATGTCATAGGACACTGCACAGACCTGATAGTTTTTAGGGTAATATCAGTATATATTAATTACCTAATTTGCATAATTAATTAATTTTCAGCTTTTGATATTTCAAGTAGTAATCATCACATTTCAATGAGACTTGCTACATAGATCTTCTAGGACTATGCAGAGACCTGATTAGTTTTAGGGTAAATAATTGTGAATATTAATTACCTAATTTGCATAATTAGTTAATTTTTTCCATAAATGTTCCACTGATATATAAAGAACCATGAAATGGATTTTAATGAAACTTTTAAAGAGTACTCATCATCACATTTCAATGAATCTAGAACTATGCAGAGACCCAATTAGTTTTTGGTAAATATTTATGCTTATTAATCACCTAATTAACATAATTAATTAACACTGATATCTCAATTACTGATCATCACATTTGAATAAAATTCGGTACATAAATGCTCTAAGACAATAGACTGATTAATTTTGGGATAAAATTTGTTCATATTAATTCTCTAATTACCATAATAATTCATAATTTTTTTGTTCTGTTCTGTTCATATTAGTTACCTGATTTACATAATTAGTTTTTCAGCTTTGCCATCAATATCTCAGGTACAAGTAATTTTGAATTAATTTTTAATGTGTTTTCAATACTCTCAGCACACGGGAGTTCTTTCTAAGCTTTCTTTGATTTCATATATTGTATCCAAAGATATGTAAAAAAATAATAAGCTAAATAAAAACTTAATTTCCATGGAAACAAATATTCTGCATTATCATTTTGTATAAAATTCTTCGTATAACATTTTTTTTTTTTCTTACTTTCAACAGTGGATGCGGTTATGTCATGTTGGTCAGAGTGGTCTGAATGCACAGTGACATGTGGTGGTGGAATACAAGAAAGACTACGCACGTGTGAATATCAACCACAAGGCGGTGGTAAAATGTGTGAAAATAATACATTGGAAGTAAAAGAATGTAATATCCAAAGATGTCCAGGTAAATTAAGGATTTCACTTTGGCTTTGGCTTCATTTGGCTATTTTTTATGTTCTTTCAAATGTTTTAGTTTATCGTGACATAGTTAAGCTTTTTACCACCAAACTTTCTTGCCCAAATTTGCCTGCACTTTTTTCTTGTGTTTTTCAATATTTCTGTCAATTTTCTAATAAATTTTCAGTTTTTACTCAAAAAATTTGGCTTTTTTTGTCCTAATCTTTTGAAGGAAAGTGCGACTATAAACGGGACTATTTTGTGAATTTGTGATGAAAAGAGGGAACTGGTGGTGAAAGGGTTCAGGCCACTAAGCTTGCAATACATTATTATACATCTGACACTGAAAAAAATAGAATTTAATCATCCGTAAAATATTGTATGGATGTGTTTGAAAGTGTTACAGACTTATTTGAATGTCTTTCTTATTTTAAAATTGTGTGTCACGTTTACATTACATTCGAACACGTTACTTTGTTTACTTTTGGCACAGAACTCTATCTGCATGTAATGGAAATAGAATCCTGTCTCTGAACATTTAAGCATTTGCACGTTACTTTGTTTACTTTTGGCACAGAACTCTATCTGCATGTAATGGAAATAGAATCCTGTCTCTGAACATTTAAGCATTTGCACCGGTGACATGTCATGTTGACTTAAAGAACACACTGACTATGGGCTAACATGTGACTGTATTGTTTGTGTTTCTTATTAACAGGGACTGATGGATGGGAAAATTGGACTAAGTGGTCATCATGTGGACCAAATAATTTACAATATAGATATAGAAAGTGTTTAGTAACATTTCCTCCTCAAGGTGTTTGTGAAGGGCCTCAAGATGATACTAAACGTTGTCAGTATAATGCCATCCCTGGTAAGTTGAAAATGTTATCAGATAAACTAACCCAAGCATACTATTGTTATGGTTATGAATGAATGAATGAATGAACTTTATTGTTCCAGTGTAAAAAAGAGTAGGTTACATAGGGTGTTTGCAACAATAAAGAATTTTTGTTAACAAGACAATATTTTGAAAATAACTTGAATGAATGTACTTAAAATTCACAAATAAATAAATATGTATAAAAAATAAATACACAAATAAATTATTAAAGAAATCTAATTTTGGTCGCAGCTAAAATAAAGTTTGATATCTCTTGTTGAACTAATTTATCTTGATGTGAAAGTAAATATATGAAACAAGAAATGTTATTGTCAGCCGGGACTTTAATTAACAGTTCAGATCTCTGCTGTTCATATTTTTGACAATCTAAATAGAAATGGATCTCATCTTCAATGCAGTTATTACAAAATTGACAAAGTCTGCTATTTATTGGTACTTTTGGGATAGAATGTCTGCCTTTTTCAATAGCTAAACTATGATCGCTAACCCTGAATTTAGTGAACATTTTTCTATTTTCACCGTTCAAATTAAGTAAATAAGGCTCCAAATTATACTTTGTTTTAAATTTTGAATATGTTCTGAGTTTAGAATTTTCATTTGATATAGCAGTTCTCCACTTGATTGATTTGATTGTAAAATTTTACAAATTGTTGCTGTTTGTGTTTTGAGGATTTTTCTTTTCAGAAGAAAATCTAATGATGCTTCCTGTAATATGGTTTTAAGATTAATGAACCAACTATTTCATATAGATGACTTTTTCTGTTCATAGAATGCTTGTTTAGTTAGATTATCATCTGGTAATTCTACGATATGCAGCCAATATTTTATTATTTGTTTTTTGATGTCAATTAAAAGAGGATATTGCCCCAATTCTGCTCTTGCTGCTAGATTACATGAGTCCTGTTAATCTGCAAAATTTGCTTACAAACTTCAAATGAACTTTTTCTATCATGTTTTTTTCCAATTTGTGTTGTTGATGAAA